CCTGTCTGTGCTCCTGCTCCTGTCCTGTCTGTGCTCCTGCACTCTGAAGATGCCGGTCACAGGTGCTGGCGAAACGTTAGGAAACAAAACTTCCAGAACACGGCCACACAGCCCAGAAGACCCACACCAACCAGAGGATATATACATTTCATATTTTTTCATGTTTTCTTTAAATTGCATATTTCTATTACTTTGGCCATATCCTGCTCAGATAGTTTATTTCTTCCAGTAATTTTTTTTGTTGTTAAAGTCAATAACTTTTAATATTCTGATGAGTATTTTTAGCTTTATCCAGTAAATCAATATCCACATTGCAACTATTCCTTAATTTTGTTGGTATGCCAGTGGCATTATCCCACATTGTAAATATTTTATGATATCTTGCAGTTATCATTAGAGATGAGAGAAAAGTTTGACATTTTAATACGAGCTTACCCATTCTGGCACTTCTCAAAAATTATGTGAACCAGAATGCAGTTATACATTTAAGTAAGTCCACAGCTTAAAAATATATACAGACAAATGCATGTATTAAATAATAGTACACATAAAAGAGTAAATTAAACAAAAGTGTATAAAATGTAGAAAAATTAGCTTGTAAAAATGCCTATCTGGAAAAAGTACATTCAAAAACTGATACTGTAGTAATTTATGTGCATTACTAGAGAAATGCACATAAATGTTTATGAGGGCATTTTATTTATTTGCAGGCAGTTTTTGTTTAGTGACCACAATTGGGACTGACAACTTGGTTGTTAAGCAGAGCGGTTGCTGAGTGAAACCGTGACTGTCCTTATGATCTTACTTCAACTTTCCTTTGCTTTACAGACCTGTAAAGGTCGTAAATACGAAGATTGGTTGCAAAGTTACTTTTTCATCACATCGTAACTGTGAACAGTCACTATATGAGGCAGTTCTAAACAAGGACTATTTATATATGATTTATATAGCTGCCCATCTCACACAAGTGACTCCAGGATGTTTACAAGAGGGGCCATTCGAATCTCCAGAAGGATGCTGTTCCACAGAGCAGGTGCTGCCACTGAAAAGGCACAACTCTGTTAAAGCAAATTTAAATTTCATTTCTTGACCCATTGTTGATTACTGTAATGTTTATTTAGAAGATAGATTTCTGAGTTCAATAGGGATTTATTGACAGATAACATGTATTATATAATATGCTTAATAATAAATGAATAAAATTAATTATTGAATAAAAGTATGTTAGGCTTCAATCTTTACCCATATATCTTAAGAACAATCCTCATTCATTTCAGTATTTCTTGTTTTGGAGTAGAAATATGTAAGATTGTGTTTAAAGTACCTTTTAATTATGTTTTCTTATTTAATGGCCCACTGTTTTTCCCCATTTTTTCTTCCAGTTCTGTCAGCAACCCTTACTATGCAAGGTCTAAGTAGAGGGATAAAGGACTGTGGTTCAAACTTCCTATAAGCAATTGCTGCCTGCAAAACAATACAGGATCCTTAGTGAGGTGAAGGTGATTTGGGAAGAGAAAATGGAACAATGTAACCCTTTATAAGAGCTTACCTGCTAGTAACCATATTAATATAGCAGCCAAACGAAAATTTGCTATTCATTCAACTTAGCTAGGCACCAGAATTAAGGCTTTTTTTATATTTGAATACCCAAGGTAATAATTTGAAAGCTTTTCTCAGAAGAAAGTCTCTGCTTGTAAGATACAGGAATTCAGAATTCTTTTCACTGACTTACACTTGGCTTTTGTAATCTGCAGTTTGGAGTTGACACCATTAGGAAACAAATAGTTTGGAAGAGTGTGGCTTTTGTTAAACTTACTCTTTCATACTTTTTCATTTGACAATGACAGAGTTGGCTTATCCCTAGGACAGTCCCACTGAAGGGGCAGATCATCCCATGCAGAGATTGCTAGTGCCTACCAAGGTTGCAGTTACAAGTTCCCCCCTCCCTCTTCGTTGGTAATTTGGTGTCCTGACTTCAAAACTGTGCTCTTACCCAATTCCTATTCATTATGGTTACATCAGAGTGATTGTTTTGGATGTGAACAATTGGTTTCATCACTAACTTTGGCTCCTCAAAACTAGAAGAGGATAATTTTAATCTTGTATTTGGTACTTGCTTTCCCTGTTATCAGCATTGTCCCCCATTTTGGGAGAGGATTTGTAGGTAGCCTTCAACGTGGCCTTAGTTCCTTCCTGTTGCTTACTAGCAATTTACTAGCAGTATTTTGTTGCTCATTTTCTTGGTAAATTCCTCACATACCATAATGGAAGAAGTGGCCTCTCAGTTAAACCTGTCAAACCTGTTCCACAAAAAAAATCACAGAAAGAAATACTACCTTTCAACTTCTGGCATGAGCAGAACCTAGGCTAAGAGCAAGAAAAATGTTTAAAAAAAAGCTATAAGGGTCTTCAGAATTCAGTGTATGAGGCAATATTGGATATGGCTTGTATGTGCCAAATTAATAGAGAACATGAAAAATGGCTTTATATTTTATTTATTATGACTGTGTTATTTATGTATGTATGTATGTATTTATTTATTTATTTGACTTGTCCCTGCCCATCTCCCCATAACGGGGGACTCTGGGCAGCTTACAACAAACTAAAATCAGAAATACAATTAAAAGTTATAA